TTTCTCCTGTTGTTTGTCCACAGCTGCATTTTTCCCTGTATCCTTAGCCAGAGATAATCGTACTCATCTTACTCTTTATGTTCTTTAGTGGTCGTTTACATGCCATCCTCACTACACTTTTTACTCATTTATGTGCTTGCTGTTGCTGGGTTAAGGATAATATTTTCTCAGGCCACAGCTGAAATGCTAATTCATATAGTACTTCTGTCACCTCCAAGGTGGATTATTGTAATTCCTTTCTGGTGTCTACCTGATTGTAAAACTTCACAAGTTCTGTTTTACATAAAATGCTTCAGCTGACATGCTTATTCATCTTAAACCAAATTAGCATATCATTCTGGTCTTTTGATCCATGCCATGGCTGCCAGTTAGAGTAGTGCTTCCTTCCTATACGACCTGGCATGCACTGATGCATGATGATGGATTCTGACCACAAGTATTAACACAAGCATACGGTTTAGACTGTAATATTGCCTTGCTCCTTTTGAACACTTTGTCTTTTTCTTTGCTTTATGTTGATGTGCTAACAATTTTAATAGCCATGTTCAAGAATAATTAATGCATTCCTAGATGTTAGGAATGGGAATTCCTTAGGCATTTTAGTTTAAGTAATATGTTCTCTAGCTGTAGAAAATCAGGTTGTAAAGTGCTCTTCTAAATGAGGCTTTTACTAGACAAACAGGACTCTGCTGTTTGCTATTTCCACTGTAGGGAATGAAGCCCAAATGTCATTTCCCCTGAAACTGAAACACTTCCATGGTGAATATCACTGAAGCACAAAACTGTTTCTATTTTATATCTACAGGAAAATAATTTGAATTTCACTGATCAAAATATAATTAATAAACTATTATTATTTGAAATGATCTTATTTAAGAAATGTTGATGATAAGGAACGAATTCCTCAGAGTGTTAGTGGATTCTTTCTCCTATATAGCCCATGAAAGTGTTCATCCTGTTCCTGCTTTGGATTACATTCCTGTCTTGAATATGTTTATTTTCCCCTTATAAGTTACAGAAGAATTCCCATGCACTTGAATATTTTGGGGTGGAGGCCTGTTTCCCCCATGCTAGAACCTGACTTTGCAGATATTTATCTTGGATGTTCACCGTGACTAACTTCACATTTGAGGTTTACTGCTGAGCTAGTTGCCTTGGGCATGTTTGTTTGTTGGTGGAGAGACACAGTTTTGGGGCACAGTCTGACTTGTTTTAGATTACTGTTATGGATAAATCAAATTATATTAATCTGCTAATTATCTATATTGAATGAGACACAGCCTTTTCTTATTGATCAGATGAATTCTATTCTCAAAGGCACAACTACCATTATTCATGTAGTACTTCTGCTGAGTTCAGTGGTCGTATGTATAAATGTTCACAGGCTGAGCAGCTTATACTACAAATATCTAAAAGCTATCTGATTGGGAAACTGTCTGTAAATCACATAGTAACTAAAAGACACAAAAGTAAATTCTCAACTATTATTATAATCTGACGGCTATTCAGTGCTTTTTCCATACTTACTAGTGAATTACACCTATATTAGGTGAGAAAAAGAATAAACCTGCAAAGTACAGTGCATATATATATATGTGCTTATACAAAATAAAAATGTTACATGTGTACATAGTACTATGTATTTTTGATTCTAGTCTATAGATTGAAAAAAAACCACAACACAAAGGGATGTAGTCACTTGGTAAACAACCTGGGCCACATTCTCCTTGTCCTACATGAATATGTGCATGAATAATGAGACCCATTTGTTTTTGGCCTTCTTTGTAGCAGAACTAAAATTAAAGAGAAGAGCATCTTAAATTCCTTCTGCTATAATGCTGTTAATCTCAGAAAACTTTAGAAACTTGCGTGATATGAAAGCCAGCATTTTTATACTTAGGTATAATTATTTGAAAAATTAAATTGAAATATAGCTTTGAAAACACTGAAATAGAGTTGTTATTTAGTAAAATGGTTATGTTATTTTTGGTTAGATTGCCCATGCCTCACAAGTAGTGAATAAGTCATATTTACTTTTTGCAAAGAAATTTAAGCAATTACATTTTCTGAGCAAGTACAACATTCCATGTTACTTGGCTATTAAGTTTTCTCATACACACTGCTATTTAGAGGTGAAAACAGAAAAAGGTCAAAAAAGTAAGAATATGTAAGTAAGAATGTAATATAGGTTGAAATTCCTGAAATGTCTAACATAAACAAGTATCTCTAGAAAGTTACTGTGTATTTTTTCTTAAATAAGCTCCTACACACATATATGCTTAAATATACACTATGTAGTTAGATTTCTTTGTACTATTGCATAAAGACTGAAGTGCACTGGCACATCTACTATTGATCCTGTTTGCCATGAAGATTAAATCTTGATGTATTCATAGAGTTACAATGAAATACAAACATGTATGCACACATATGTACCACCAATTATAAAAACTGATATACACAGTGGAATATTCTAATGGGCTGGTCCTCTGTTTATTCTCAAAATTCTTTCCCTCAGGCTCCATTTCTGCTACTGTACCATCTCAAGTGGATTTGAATTTGAAAGCGTTCTTTAGTTTTTAATGTTAATGGATGTCATTGCACTATGGCTCTACAAGAGAGAAGAATATTACTATCAAATAAAAATACTAAAGTTTTGAAGAAGATGTTAAGTCACAGCTCTGATAAAAACAAGAATGCTTTCATTTTTGCACATGCAAACAAATTAATCTTGCTCTATAAAGGGAATTTATTTATTTATGCAGAAGGTATACGAACGCTTGTTTAAATGTGCAAAGTAAAGTAATGGGATGAAATTACTATTGATAAGAAATTATAATTCATATTACAGTAACACCCTGAACAAAGTCAAGACCTATTCTGAGTTCAGCATAGAATGAAAGAAGACCATTCTGGTGTTTCTTAAAATTTGACTTATCCTAGTAATGGATATTAAAAAAAATAATAGCTAGGCAATAATCCATCCTCAATGAGGATTCAGTTAAACCTTGTAGCAGAAATTGCTTTTTGGTTCAGCCTATTTATTTTAAATCTAGGACTCTCTTGTTTGAGATTTTAGAAGAAAACCGTTTTTTATGCAGATTGCAGTGTAATTGGTGAATAGTGCCAGTATTTGTTTACATAAGATTTGGTAGAAGGAAAGTATCTGAGTTCATACCAAAAATACCAGCAAGTTGTATGCTATACCGTAAATCATGCTGTACACATTAAAAGGTTTCATATATTCAAATGTTATTTTCAGAAACCAGACACTCTGGGAGAATAACATGTAGGTCATGAATTAGGTTTTGTCTTTTATTTTCCTATTAGCACTTGTTGTCTTTTTTTTTTTTTTTTTATATTTGGTATACAAAAGTAATAGAAATTATAAATGACCTTGCATTTCAAGAGCTTGGGGTCTGGATATTTTAGCCCTTGCTTTTATGAACACTTTTTATTCCCACAAACAAGCCTACCGGTGTCTGTAAAATTTTGCATGTTGTTATTGCTCATTTTAGGAAAGAACTAAGAATTGTGCCTTTGGACCTTGCACACATGAAAACGAAGCTGTAAGGGAAATCGGTATGAATCAGAGTTTTGGGATTTTTTTCGAAAGTATGGCAGAGAAAAACTAGTAATATTGAGTGTGGTGCTCACCGAAATGAGAAAAGTAACAATGAAATACGAACTTCGTATGCACTTTGACATTTGTGTGTAGTGAATTAATGCTAGAATGCATAAAATATTTTGTTCTGATTATTTGCTAGGAAAAACCCAGGCAGCCAATGGTTCAGTTATTTAATATATTAAATAAGAAGTTATGTAAGTATGGTTTTCCAGCTCTCTCTCTCCTTGATCTTTGAAGTGTGTCACTCTTTCATTTTGCCATTCAACAGCCTGACATGCAAAAGCTTTGTTCAGACAGTTTAATTTAATCACTGCCACTGGTTCAACAAGATGATAAAATCCCCTATGCTGTACAACATCCAACATCCAGCTCACTGTTATCTGATAGTGTTTGAAGCTCCTCTCATGAATGTATGCTGATAACACAAGAACTCCAAACATGTCATAAACAATATATTAATACCCTTGATTGAATTCCATTAGAATAAGAACGAGATGAAGTTTAGGCCGTCCAAGCGGGCCAATGTAATAAAATGTAATTTGGACTAATCTTTCCAGAGAATGCCTTGTTTTTGAAGCTGACAGTCTCCCATCACAAGCAGAAGTAATTGCTTGTTGAATACACTGGGAACTCCTTTGAATTCTAGCCTTTGTACTTTGTGCACCTTCCAGGTGTCTCCTGCAGCAGACAATCTACCCTTTTGTTTCAGGGGAGAGACGCCAGGACCACAAATAATGAAATAGGCAGGGCTTGTTTTAATGAACGGTGGGAGGCCGGATGGAATTTCTGGGAGCTTAAGAGGGGCTGTTTGAGGCAAAAACAAAGCAAAGGACTTGATAGGTAATGTTAATTCAAGTAATCCGTTTCCTTAAATTGAATCAGGAAGAGGTAAGAAAGTATTTTAGCCAGTGCATACCTATAGATATCAGAAAGAATACAAATCAATCTGTCTCTGGAGCAGATCTTTTCACAAGGGAGGAGCAACACCAAGAACTTGTTTAGCTGGAAAATTTAACTGGTTTAAACTGGAATTTTGAGGGTGTGTAATTTGTTAAATTGATATGGTTTACATACAAAACATTTTTCTTGGCTTTTATTAGCTAACAAGAATTTCTTAGATTATTTCAGAAGCAGTAAACTACAAAAAGGCAGCACTATGAATTTGTTATAAATAGTAATGAATTTGTTACTGATTTGTTTTCAGCAATTGCTACTTTTTATTTAAAAATTGGCAAGCACTGACAATATTCCTCCTGCTATAGAAAACCTATGAAGAAAGAGATATTTATAAATTAAATGCTTAAAGAAAAAAGAGGAGTCTCTGCTTAGAAGAAACTATAGCTTTACTTTGTTTTGCTTGTTTTCTGTTTAGTACAGCTGGGTCACTTCTAAATCTCAGGAGCTGTAGGATAAGGACAACCCAAATACAAAGAAATAGTAAAACTGGGTGTTTGGACAGCAGTCACTGCAAATGGTTGCAAGTTTATTCATAGATCAGGTCTGTGAACATTTATATTGCGCTCTTTGGCACTTTACAATCTGGTCCTGTAAATGGTTTTTTAGTCCTCCTTCTCAAAAAAAAAAAAAAAAATCAGAATTGCATCATCATGGTTATGTATGAAGAATGCTTGTTCCCTATTCAAGAAGCATTTAATTCCAGATGAGGAAAAGTGTGTTTCCACTACAAGAAGCTGACTTTTCAGTTTCAGTGTGGACTTTCCCTCATTGGAACTCAGACTACTGCCACGGGATCTCTACCTTTTATCCCAATTACAGATTGTTGGTTCTGCTGCTTGCAGAATTCCCTCACAGCTGGTGAATGGTGCTACAAATCCACCTCTGCTCTGAAAAAGTAGGCTGGCACTATTTCCCCATTCAGACTCTGTTTTCTACCATTTACCAAGCTTTTAGCTCTGTTACGTGTACACCAAAATATCAGCTGAGATTATTGAGATTGCTCTTGTGAAAATACTTGACGCAACTAATAAAATTCAAAAGCATCTTAATAGCTTGGTACCTTACTTCCTCATAGCAGTTTGTGCAGGTGGATTAAATTAATTTATTTTTCTCTCCCCCTCTCCCATAACTGAGGAGACACAATATTGGTTTTGGCAGAAGCATGGCTTCAAGGTTGTTCTGTTTATCTCGGTAAATACATGTAGTTCTCAGCACAATCATGACAGTACTTTCAACATTTCCTATTCTCTTTCCAAGAAGTTGCAAAATACATCTACTTGAGGAAGGGTAATAGCTGTAATCTTAATCTGGGGCAATTTGAAATAAATACATCTGGCATAGCACACAGATAAACACTGATTATGACAGAATTGTTTTCTGTAATATTTCAGCTCCTTTTAGGCTGGAATCTGCAAACACATATGCTCAACTTAAAATCTGTGAAATCAGCTGCATCTCACTGTAGCTGCTTGTAAATTTAGAGGAATAAAATGCTTGGGGAAAGGAAATGTAAAGTGCTGGATTAAGAACTTCAGTGCTGCGTTTTGGGTGTTTGTGATATGCACAACATATATCAACAGCTATTAAAATAAGTTTCAGGAAAGAATTCTAGAGATTGATTGTTTCTTCAAAAATTACTCCAAAAATCAATCAGAACTGTCTTAGAAATATGCCTACTATGCACCAAGATCTAGTTTTCCTTTTTTTTAACAAAATTTATCAATCCATTAAGAGGAGACAAGTAAACAAAAATGAATTGTCATTTGTGTTATTTTATTAGTGTCACATGAGATTACAGCATATTATTGATTTGAGAATATTTTACCCAAGGAGACTTGTTTTAACATGAACAAGTCAGGATCAATACCGGATATGCATTCATTTTCATAAAAAGCTACAAGGCAATATTTTTTTTACAAATCCCATGACTATACTTATAGCTCTGTAAAAAAAATATCATTGTGACCAAATGAGGACCTAGCTAAGATTTAATTATTAAAAAATGGATTATTATTTGCGCTGTTGCTTACTTTCCCAGGTGTATTATTTACCGACCAAAAGTAATTTATGTGCTCACCCGGTCATAGAGTGAAGTTAGATTGCCTGTGCAATTTTTGCTGACTTTGCTGCCTTAGCTTACTTTATCAATTCTCTTTCCCCCCCTGCTTTTTTCATTAGAGATCGCATATAGTTTAAGAGCTGTAATCTGAAACCTTACAGCTCTAGTGGATACTTAAAAGACTCATTGATACACTTTGAAACCAAGTCAATTGAACAGCATTAGCAACAGCAGCATCTAGCCATTAGGCCATTAGGATCATTTGCCGAGGCACTAAAATTAAATATAGGGACTCTAGCAATTCCCCAATTATATTGTGTTTGTATAATGGCAGTGAAAAGGATATTATTTTAGTCAGCTCAGTGCTACTATTGCAAGAACCAAGATGCTCTCCATTTTGCAGACGTAGATATGTATTGGCCAGGACACTGACATTAATTCCCTTTGCAGGCAGAATAGATCAACACCATGGACAGAATTCAAATACTACTAGTCAATAGCAGTTTTTCAGAGTCCCCATATTTAATTCTTTTTTTGGGGGAGGGGGGCGGGGGGGTGGGGCTGTCAGCATTTAAAATAATACATGTAGGTTAAAATACCATCTAGAAAAAGATATTGAGGAGGGACAGTATATGATGCAGAGTCAAGGGAAGGAAATTCCTTACCTCAGTTAGCTGTCCCATACAGCTGTGACTCTTCTGGTTTAGCCTCCCACATGTAGCTCATATCTTCACGATTCCCTGGAGATAAAGCTTCCTAGAAAAAGAGAAAATATGATCCACAATCATGAAAAAAAAAAAGATAAGGGAAGTTCTGATGTAGGGCTAGGAGTCAGCTATAAACACACTTCTTCCATTTTGAGTTGAGTGCAATCCTCTATTGCAGTAAGAGAAAAGGAAACTATTAACACTTCAGTCATGAGTTACTTTTGTTTCCCAATGCACACCAAGTTGTACTAAAATTGAATGGTGGTAATAGCAATATAAGAATGGCTGTATTGTGGTGAAGAAGAAATCCCATTAGCCAAGTTTAACACAGCCAACAGCAAGTGCCTAGAGTAGTGCGTGAGGGGATACATGCCTAGCACACCTTTCACTGATTTGCAGCTCAGGGACTTTTGGATGCAATGGTCAGATTTTTGTACATGCTAGACTTTCATTTCTTTCTTCACTAGTTTGTCCCTTTGCTTTTTGAACCTATATAACCATTAAGCATCCATAAAACTCTTGTGGTTAAGTGATCTGCAGTTTAACTATGATTTATGAGAAAAAAAAAAACACACCCTTTGTTTGACACTTGTGATCTGCTAATTTTGTGTAAGGCTCTTCCCATCTTTTATTAAGAAGAACAGCGTGGGACTGCTTTATTTCTCCTAGACACTCAGAATTTATAAACCCTGTGGCATATCTTTTCGGTGCTGAAGGATCCTAATTTATTTAGCTGTTCTTTGCATGGGAACCATTCTATACCTTTTTCTCTTTCTCACTCCTCCCTCATTTTTAGTGCTACTGTATCCTTTTTGACACTGGGTTCCAGCACTACATGTACCATTCAGGGTATGCATCCATCAGTGTCTTGGCAATGTTTCAGTTTCATTCTTTCCATTCTACAACTCATGAGTTCAGCAGCTCATCTGTTTTTTCCATCTGTACTAGTTAGACTAATAATTTTATTATCTCTGTGTACATAACCAGATAATGACCACTGCAGTGCTATATTTATCTGAGCATGAGATGATGGTTTTATATCTCTAATACTGGATTTAGATACTGCTATACAGGCAGATTTTTTCACTAAGTGTTCCTGAACTATGAGATGGTGCTAGTTTACATTTTCTTTCAGTGAAAAATAAAAACATCATAGAAGACCAGAAAACCTGGTCTTGCATCAAGCAGTCACAATTTAATTCCAGTTTAATTCAGTGGAAGAAAAAGCTGAATTATATCTGTAGCTAGGTATCTTAATTTATGAGTGGATTCAGGCAGTCATATCTACAGCAGACTCGTAATTTCCTTTAGTTAAAAATACAGAAATTGGAGTTTGTATGCAAAGAATATGGAGAGACATGTAGGAAAGTACCCCAGTCTGACTGGAAAGATTAGATGTCTTGAAAAGAATTTTAAGGAGAAGCAGAAAATATAAGTGAGAGGTGAAAGAAATTTTCAAGGAAAGAACCTCAGAACAAAAGTGAATTCTGAAAGCATAGGAGCCATATTCCCTGTAGCAAGTACTTACACCTGGGATAGCGAAAGGGTAGTCTTAACAATTCATGTCATTCCCTCTAGTTCTGGTTTTCTTACTAGTGCTGTTATTCTTACTTTTCTCTAATGCTGCTTCTCTACTGCTTTTCATCTCTCTGACACTCTTCCTGTGTTGTTTATTTTCAACACTCAGTCAGGTTAGGCACCTCCACTGAATTCTGGCAAGGAGTTAACCTTCTTCTTTCAATACAAAATAATTTATTCGCCAGCATATAGTTCTGTGTCTTTTCATTCTTCCTCCTATTGTCACTACCTTAATTCAATACCTTAAGAAAATGACCTCTTCTTTTGTCCCCTTTCAGTCTTTCTCACACAGTCCTGGTGGTTACAGTTGTAGTCTACTTTATTACTGGAGTTAACATTTATTTTAATTTTGGTATTTTGGATTTTTGGATTAGAAAATCCCTTACCTTTTCTGTAAAACACATTTGCCCAGAAGATGATGGTTTCTAAACACTACTTTCATTTCTGACCTTCTCTTCCACAAAGTACTTGAGAAAATACAATTTCCTCACCTAAGCAGTCATCTCACAAAACAGCATTAAAAAAACCAAATAAACTAAAAAAGGCAGCTTTCAAATGGTGTTTGTTCTTGTTCTGGCTAAATGAATGGTTTACAGAAAAAAAACTCCAAAAGGCTGTGTTGAAGTGGGAAGGCCTGGAGAAAGAACAAGGAGAAAGGGGAGGCCTGAGATGGTGAGAAGACCTGCTGTAAGAAGATACCCCCTCCCCGATATAAGGTATATTTACCTTACATGTAATGCCACTCAAAACTGGGCACAGGCTGAGCAGCTGAAAGTGATGAGGTGCTAGAGTTATACTATGGACTAAACTAGTCTTACGCTTTTTTTAAAGGGAACTGATAGTCAATCAAATACAAAAAAAAAAAAACAAAAAACTTTTTTTTTCCTTTGTTCTTTAAGTACATTTTTGTACCTTTTTTTTGGTGGCTTTTTGTGAAAAAGGGCTTGTTTAATTACTAGAAGAATAGGTTGTTTCTACAGACATTTGAGAGAAGGCATTACATTTAGTTTAAATTTGCATTACATTTAATTTAAATTTACATTACATTTCAGCTTGAGACAACTTAATATTTTAATCTGTCCTGAGACTGTGAATGGAAATAGTGGGTGGGAAAGCTATAAGGCAAGTTAAAATGCCATTCCACTGCAGTGTGTATAAGCAGCATGTTTTTCTTGTTAGAGAATTTACAGCAGCTCTGAGTTTTCATGAAGTATGTAATCAACCTATGGAGCAAGGAAGCAATAGAAATGTCTGGATCAATGTTTCTGAGTTTAGTGAGGGGTTTTGGAAAAAGAACATGGAGCTTTTCTGTCAGGAGAGAAATATTACCCTTGTAGCAGACAGCTTTTCATGGCACTTTACAGCTTTATTTTTCTTTTCTTCTCCTTCATACTGTAAAAATAGTATTTTTTCCTGCAAGCACAACTCAAGAATGTCCTCTAGACAAAAGCTAAATTAAAAACCTTAAAAAGAAAACTAAAAATAAAGTTTGTTTGCTAGTGTTGATATACAATGCACAAATTATTTCTATCTGCCCTTGATGAGCTTGCCAAATCTTCAAGAGCAACGCAAACCTTAAAATTCTGACATTAGTTCAGACTAGAGCAATGCACTGTAGTAACAGCAATGGATTTTTCTTCATCATCAGCTGAATCACATTGCTCATAGCATTTGCTGGACACAGCATTCATGAACATTTCTAAGTCTCAGCAATTTAACAAAAGATTTTTGAATGTAATTTTGTGAAAGATATTGTGTAACAGTGCTTTATCTGAATCAGTACCCCTTTTTTATTCATTTTTTGTAAGTAGCCTGGTACATAGGCTTTGTAAATCTCCTATATGAACTTTCTATGAACAGAATTCCTGTGTTTTGTAGTAAATATAAATCATAACAATTTAGTGATGGCCTTTGTCCAGATACGCAGCATTAATTAATAAAGTACACAAGTGAAAAGTTGTCAATCTTAATCGATCTTCTTTGTTGTGTGGAAGTGTATTGAGAATTAAATATACATTAATGAAGGCAGAACTCAGAATATTCCTATTACTCTTCACCTGCAACCACTGAGTGTATCTGCACAAGTAAACAACAGTTCTGGGGCCTGGGCTTAAGCACAGCCCAGAATCACCCATCTTCTCCATTTGCACAAACAAGGACCCATTCCAACTAGCTCTCTGTCCTTACCTCTAATGATAGCTCAGCAGAATTCTGCTTGAGTCAAGGGCTTTTCTCAGCAAGAAGTAGAGACAAACCTATTTTGTTTGGAGGCAAAGGGATTTTAGCTGCAGAGATCCAAACAACAACATGCTTCTTTCCTACAAAGCCAAATAATTGGTACTATCCTATGTTATTTACTTTTATGGATGCATTCACGGATGTTTCTCTTAGACTGCTGATAGCAGAAGGGGGATAGCTGTAAGATGCAGCTCTCGCATGGCCACAGTCTGCTACAGTCTGCCAAGATGCCTCTTACATACATACGTCTACACCTGACCTAGGTGTCCTAGCTGCTTTTGTACTCAGTGCAGAGAAACAAGTATTCTAATGGCATAAGATATTTATTTCAGGGTGGGATTAGTCACACCTTTTTTTCTTTCTTTTGGTTGTACAGGCAGCTTACTCAGATACAGCTGTTGAAGAGGGAACTGTAAATGTTCAAGTCAAATAAAACCTAAGGTTCAGTCACTCTCATGTCTCCCTAAACCCTTAGGCCAATGGAACTGAACTTCTTTTCAGACATGTGATTATCCAAAGTACCCGTGCAGAGATGGATTCAAGGAGGTTAAGACCGTAGTTCTTTCCCCTGTTAGTAGTCCCTAATGTAGTGTGTATACCCCAGGTCACTTGGTGTGCTGGGTACCTCCCTCCAACCTGGTCAGGTCTGTGTTTGGCTGGGAGCATATCATGTACAATTGTCATCTAGTGACAGATCCACCCACAGAAGGGCACAGAAAAGGTGTGCCACTACTCCTTTGGAGAGTCCAAAAAGCCTGCTGAGCTGGGTGAGTGCTCCATATGTGAGTACTTGACTTCCTTTAGCCGTTAGAGGTGTAAGAACCTGTTCAGCCACTGGTCCCAGTAGCATGAGTTTCTCACCCGTACGTAAATGATGGAATAACTGGTTTCATCTCTATTTCATTGGAGTATGTATCAGTGCTGGTTC